ACAAAGAATGCTGAGTTGCATCCAAAGAACACCATACCTACTGTGAAGCATGGGGGTGGAAACATCATGCTTTGGGGCTGTTTTTCTGCAAAGGGACCAGGACGACTGATCCGTGTAAAGGAAAGAATGAATGGGACCATGTATCGTGAGATTTTGAGTGAAAACCTCCTTCCATCAGCAAGGGCATTGAAGATGAAACGTGGCTGGGTCTTTCAGCATGACAATGATCCTAAACACACCGCCCGGGCAACGAAGGAGTGGCTTCGTAAGAAGCATTTCAAGGTCCTGGAGTGCCCTAGCCAGTCTCCAGATCTCAACCCCATAGACAATCTTTGGAGGGAGTTGAAAGTCCGTGTTGCCCAGCGACAGCCCCAAAACATCACTGCTCTAGAGGAGATCTGCATGGAGGACTGGGCCAAAATACCAGAAACAGTGTGTGAAAACCTTGTGAAGACTTACAGAAAACGTTTGACCTGTGTCATTGCCAACAAAGGATATATAACAAAGTATTGAGAAACTTTTGTTATTGACCAAATACTTATTTTCCACCATAATTTGCAAATAAATTCATTAAAAATCCTACAATGTGATTTTCTGGATTTATTTTTCTCATTTTGTCTGTCATAGTTGACATGTACCTATGATGAAAATTACAGGCCTCTCTCATCTTTTTAAGTGGGAGAACTTGTACAATTGGTGGCTGACTAAATACTTTTTTTCCCCACTGTATATCCTGGGGGACATTATTAACGTTAAAACGAAACAAACTTTTTTTTTTCTCCTGTTGAAGTACAATAATGAAACACTTGCTGAATCAGTGGAGAGAGAGAGAGACAGAGAGAAAGGGACGTAGATGCTCCCATCAGAGAGCTCCAAACATTCCTTCTTTCTGGTTTCTCTATTATCTAAGCCCCATGCATTCATCTTTCTGCTACAGTACAGTCTACCCTCTCCAACACAACACAATGGACTGTGAATTAAATTGCATTCACAGAAGCTTATTATCCCATTCTTCCAACAATAAATCAATGCATATACCCCCATCTGTGTGTGTAGAAGAATCTCTTTATTATAATAGTGTGCATATTTTGACTTCTTCATAGATAGTTGTCACTCACGTTCAACAGGACTTTTGTATTGTATACAGTGTTCTGTAAATTTAGCTCAGGTAATACCAGGGCTGTACTTGTCTACATTCACGTTGCAAAGTTACCCCGGTTACACTGGAGAATACATCTGTAAATAGATTCATCTTACCTACATCAAACACAATGATATAACAGTAACAGTGGACAGTTACGTTTAAAATACTTTACATTCACGTTTCGTTTATAAAGAATTTGATGAATACAAGATTAGATATATAACAAAAGAATATATTTATATATTTTTCCATATCTTATACTCCACATACAATTGAATTTTTGTGTGTGGCTTGCTTCCTGCCATTAATGTTGTTTCACGATAAAATGTTTACAATTAAATTTCAACTCCATTTCAATAAATAAACAAACAGAATGGAGAAACAGAACAAAATAAAAGACAAAAACAGCAGTCATCTCTAAAAAAAAAAGGGGGGGAACATTTTGGCACTTCCTTGGTGGTGAATTTTCTTTAAGTCAAGTTTGACAAAGAAATAGGCTTCAAGAGATGACAATGTAACATATAACATAACAATCCTTGTACAATGAATGAGGCATTTCGAACTTAAAATACACTAGCTATCCTTCCACACACACACACATACATTCACACACACACACATACACTCTTTGAAGGAGAAGCTCCTGATTTCCCTCACACATATGGACCACAAAACCATGCATTGGAAATGTGCAATATAACAAAGAGAACATTACAGCATATAAAAAGTAAAGAAATGTCACTTGTTTTGTTGAGTCTACCTGTGTTAGTGCTGTAATTCAGTTGAGCTTTTGATAAAACAGGGCATTTCTTGCATGTCTGAAAACATTCCCTAAAACACTAAGAGTGCTTACCTATCCATAGAAAACTGAAACAAGTATTTCTGTTAAAGACTTCTTTCAAGTGCTGGATTCAACCTCTGAAATTTCCTGACATTGAATCAAAGCCTCCCTTTGGGTCTTCACCACTGTTCAATTACTACTGTTTATTCACAAGCACGGTGAAGGCAAAATCATTGGATCAAGGGCACAAGCCTCTCTGAAGAGGAAAATATGCTAGCACTATGCAACACATTAAAGTTGGTACACGCAGTTCCGTTAGTAACCATAGCATTACAATGGAGACCTCTACTCTGTGTAAAGGCCATGTGGAAAGCATAAGGACCACCACTTGCAAGACGAAACATTTCTGAGTCTCAACATCAATTGTTCCCTTTTCTGTCAGACAGGTGACAAAAGCTTCATATCTGTTTCAGGTAGGTTTCAGAAGATGGAGAAGGCAACTGGGAAAAACCTCTACTGCTGTAAGATGAATATCTAAAGGACATTGTCATTCAAACTGAATTAATAACGTATGTTGGTAACCATAAAGAATATCTATTATCCACAAGCTCTGATCTGCAGGAGAGGATTCCTGAGTCGTCGGGCAAAACCTTTCTGTATGGACCAATGAAAACATTGACAGGTTCTGGAGTGTCTAGCTCGATAAGGCACTGACACAGTTGAGCTGCTCTTTCTAAAGCATGATATCTAGAGTAGGGAATGGGGACCTTCTCCCAATGATAACTACTCAGTCAGACATACAAAGAGGGCAATGAAACTATATTTCTCCCCTTTCTCATTCACCTAAAAGCTTGAGGGTCCTTTTTGAAAAGAGTCAAAAAGACAAAAAGCAATGTGAGTCATGTTTGTCTCCCCCTGCCTAGAGTATACATGATGACAGAAGTGGTAATTTGGTACTTTTTGACTTGGTTTAAGTGTCTAACCCATTCTATAGACAATGAACACAGAACAGTCATAGTAAAGAAAAAAACATGTAAAAAACTGATATGAAAACAAATAACTATGTCCATGAACACAGAAAAAAACACCTGTAGATTCTCTGCATGGAATTTCTCCATCTTATGAGTTGTATACATTTGAAAAAAATGAAGATGATGATGATGCCACATGGTAATTGTTCTAAATAAAAAGACACTTCAAAAGCAAAAACATGGAGGATACTGAGTTGACTCTGTAGGCAGAGGTTGAGGAGAGAATCTGTAGTCACTCGACAGAGAGAGCGGGAGATGAGGGGCGGAGTGGAAATGAGGGGATGGCAGGTCACAGGTTGGGTCAGAACCAAAAGAACACAGAGAGGCAGAAAGGAGCATGGCGTTTTCCCTGTCCATCCTCCAGTAGCAGGAGGCTCAGCAGCAGGAACATCTGCCGTCGGAACGCCACGACTCCAACACCCCGGAATTGTGAGTAGTGAGGAAGGTTGGGTGACATTAGGTTGTCAGATAGCCAACCAGTGCTTGAGCTGAAATAGAAAAGGGTGATGTTGATAAAGCTCGTTGCCAATGCAGCATAGAGCATCATTAGAGGTCACATTTCCATTCTGGTCATCACTCTGCCTACATCCTCTATACCTCTCTGTTTTCCAGCCCTCACAGATGTAGAACCATAAACACACTACAAGTTTGCATTTCAGGAAAATTCTCAGCAACAAAAGAGTGATAAAGTTTGTCATTTTCACTTTAAAATGTCAGACTTGATTTGCCCTAACAATAAATGTATCAACCCCTACACAAATGTCAATTAATTATAATCCACATAATAATTCAAATGTCCTGTTGCTGCAGGATAATTGTCCTGCTCTAGCAAACTTGCTCAAATGAAGATCCAACATCTGTACTCACCGTGAACTGTCTGATGGTAGCTCCCTCTGCCACGAGATGATGTTCGTGTTCTGGTGTGATGCAGTAGGCTATCCTCTGAAAAACAGACCATTACAGTACATTATATTACATAACTCGTACCTTACAATAAACACATACTCTTACACTGCAAAAAACACATTGTCCCAAGCACAAGAGATATGATCTTGAAGTTTGTAATAAACTAGCACTTTAATCTATGGTCACAGTTTATTCTATAGATCCACCATTTCTTCTATAGATAAGGAACTTGGAGATAGCTCAAATATGTCAAACAGCTTTCTGATTCTGATGTGATCAGGCTGGACTGGATGTACACTGTACTGTAGTGTATACTGTATGATCTCTGATGTCTCTTCCAGATCGCCCCCGTCCTCATATCTGACTGAAGTGCACTTGGTGCGATAACAGTATGATAAACTGTGATCTCAGCTGGAGGAAAAGCATGGGAGATAGTCATGGAAGGAGTCTAAACACTGCCAGGCATCAGAAGGAAATGCCACGAGGAGTGAGTAGGAAAACACAAGGTAACACTGTTTACTGCTCAGAAAGATAATCATCAAAGGAATGTTATTTTTATGATTATACTGTTCACTGTTCAGGCTTTGAACCCGCAAGATCTCTAACCAGCGTCCCACAAGTACTGACATCATCAACCGTCAACCATCGAAAAGGAAAAAGTCAGTTTGTGTCAGTTCAAGGTCAAGCCTTGAAGACTCCAAGCTACATGCCTGCCATTGATCTAAGATTATCTTTGCATAAAATAAACACATACTATCCCAGCGTGCAAACCTGGTTGAAATGACATCATAATCTGGTTATAAGGATGGCATTTCAACCAGTTTTGACCGCTGGGATACAGATAAGAGGTTGCTATTTACCACAGCTTTCAAGCTACATGACATCAAGCTACAGTACATACTGTACCTGCCAACATTAACACACTACATGTTAATGTTTTTAAATGTATGTAAATTGTAAAGTATTTTGTCTGTAATGTCTTTTATGTTATATGTCGGACCTCAGTAAAACTAGCTGTCGCCATTGGCGTCGGCTAATGGGCATCCTAATAAATCAAATCAAATCGATCTAAGGTTATCTTTACATTATATAAACAACAATTATGCAGATGAGAGGGATTTGTTTTTCCACTGACCTGTTTGAATGTCCCTGGCATACTGAGGAACTTATAGATGGCATAGATGGGCACAAACATCATGGAGGACAGAGCTACACCCCAACCAATCACGTTGGACCATGAAGGAAAGACATAGTCATCATAACTCAGGCCCGTGGACGTCACGATGCTGGCTATCACCACGACCTGGGGAGAAGAGAAAAACAACAGAACGGTTAGCTAGGTCACCATACAAACTGAGGACAGGAGAAACAACAGAATGGTTAGCTAGGTCACCATATAAACTGAGGACAGGAGAAACAACAGAACGGTTAGCTAGGTCACCATATAAACTGAGGACAGGAGAAACAACAGAACGGTTAGCTAGGTCACCATATAAACTGAGGACAGGAGAAACAATAGAACGGTTAGCTAGGTCACCATATAAACTGAGGATAGGAGAAACAACAGCACGGTTAGCTAGGTCAACATATCAACTGAGGACAGGAGAAACAATAGAACGGTTAGCTAGGTCACCATATAAACTGAGGATAGGAGAAACAACAGAACGGTTAGCTAGGTCACCATATAAACTGAGGACAGGAGAAACAATAGAACCGCTAGGTCTCGATGCTGGCTATCATCACAAAGTACGGAGAGGAGAAAAAAAAAACAGAGTGGTTAAAATATTCCCAAAGAGATATCAAAACAGCTTCTGTAGAAAAAACGAATACTCCGCCACTGTTCATTTTGACAAAAACATAAAAGCATTACAGAGATGAAATTGAGTTGAATAGAACAGACATGGGCATGGTCTCTCCCTCTGGGGTTTGACACATACTGTAATAGACTTTCACTGTAAGTACTCTGGTTCACCAGGCAGCTGTAGACTAGAGACTGGAGGCCCATCACCACTGAACTGTAACTCTGTAGCTTTGTAACTGTTGCCCCAGAGAGCAGCAAACATCACTAGTAGTTATAATACAACACTGGAAGGTCAGGGCAGTGTCTCCTCCTCGTCTCCAACTGAATATCAAAGGCTAACAACATTATTCTATGTCCTTTTTCTACAAATGCCATCCATGCAACAGCCAGAGTTGGGCGCTATCTTCCTGACATCTGCTGTTTCTGCCTTGCTTCTGGAGGTAAGGCTAGCAGAACTATGGTAGCGTTCACTACACACTAAAACTAAACAATGATAGGTCCCCTCAGACATAAGGTTTAAAGATCCTGGTGATATATCGGCTTTCAATCTAATCTACCTATTTTCCTGGCTTTCAATCTTCCCATCCTCTTTTTATTTCCTGTTTGCCATTTAAAACATATAAACTTCCCCTATGGAAAGAGGAATACTGACATATGAAAGATCATAATCAATATAAAAGCATTAAGGGAATAATATAATTTCCCGTCAAGACAGATCATGTGCTTTTGGTAATCCCTATCTATACAAACCCACATCTGTGGTTCATTGACGTAACACATCTCTAACATTTTTTTTACAGGAAAACACATTTCCTGTGGCAAATTACTAATTGCTGGCACATAATACGAGTTAAAAAAGACTATAGTACAGTATATGGCAGCCAGTAACAATTAGGTAACCTCTGTTGGGAATTTCCTCATTTCCATTCAAGCTCAATTACATACCATAGATCATGATTCCTACAGTATGTTTAATACTTCAAGCTTGTGTCAGGCACTTTGCCCTCCCATCCCACCCCAAGCCCCAGCACCATGCCAAAGGCTTCAGCCCCAGCCCCCCAATCAGCCCCTTCTTGCCCCCCGGGGTTCTCACCAGTAGGAAGGTGGGGCTGACAAACTTCCAGCACAGCCTCCAGTAGAGACCTGGCTTGAAGCCCATCATGCGCTCGATATCCTCACTGAAGCGGTCCACGCCTGGAGAGGAAACACAGGGCAGAAGACCAGGGCTTGAACTCACGCACACAGAACCATACCCATAGACCCACTGCAGACCTGGGTTCAAATAGTACTTGTTTCCTTACAAATACTGAAGCTGAGCTTGATTGAGCTTGCCTGGTGCAATACAACCAATAGTACAAACCCTGCCCATCTGGCACTACGGGAAGGCTCAATCAAACGCTCAATGTACTTGAAAGAAAACAAATACTATTTGCACCCAGGTCAGACCCACAGTCCGCTTTGCTTCTGATGTCTGAAGTTCACAGGAGAACTAACGCTCCTCTCATCAATGTCCATACATAACAGCTGGAGCATTGGCTGAGAAAGAGCTTCATGGCACACAACTCCAATTTCTTCTGTAATTATGAGTTCACACAGCAGTAAAAATGCAGCTCAATGATATCTGTTTCATAAAAGTCTCTGAGTTCCAAGTATGTTATATTATAATTTCACACAGGGTTAAGTCTGCCTATAAGGAAATGGACTGTGTCCCAAACGACACTATATAGTGTACTACTTTTGACCAGAAGTAGTACACTATATAGGGAATATGGTGCCATTTTGTACACAACCATGGTGTTTCTATAGCTTGGGCATAATGCTTCTTTATCAGAGCAGCCAAGGCCTGTTAACATTAAGACAGGTCCAGGAAACCCTGTCACAACTCCAGCTACAAGCAGACCCTCTCCTTTATTCTCCTCTCTCTGTGGTGCTCTGTCTGTCTGACCTCATCATGAGGTTCAGTTTCAGCAGTTAATACTGACTATAAATCATGGTGTACATTGATGGGCTGTAGTTTAAAGATAAAGCACAACTTGTCGACATACAGTATTATCTCTGTGCAATACATAAAACACTAAACAGACTGCATAGAACTGTTCACACACCATATAGTCCTTCACTACTCTCACCCATGCACGTCCATGCCAAATAGCCTCGTAGTTAGAGCATTGAGCCTGTAAATGAAAGGTTGCTGGTTAAAATCCCTGAGCCAACAAGGTGAGAAATCTGTTGATGTGCCCTAAAGCAAGGCATTTAACCCTAATTTGCTCCAGGGGTTCCATACTACTATGGCTGACCCTGTAAAACAACATATTTCACTGCACCTACATTTATTCCATTTTACTATTGGATAAATAACACAAACTGCTAAACAGACAATTATAAACACACTGTAGTGTACAGTCTCTCACAACTCCCCCATGCCTCCCCTCCCTGCCTCCCCTGCCTCCCACTCTTCAGACCCCCACCAAGGGAGAGAGTCAGTAGTTAGCCTCCCCTCCCTGCCTCCCTCTCCTCTGACCCCCACCAAGGGAGAGAGTCAGTAGTTAGCCTCCCCTCCCTGCCTCCCTCTCCTCTGACCCCCACCAAGGGAGAGAGTCAGTAGTTAGCCTCCCCTCCCTGCCTCCCTCTCCTCTGACCCCCACCAAGGGAGAGACTCAGTAGCTAGCCTCCCCTCTCTGCCTCCCTCTCCTCTGACCCCCACCAAGGGAGAGAGTCAGTAGTTAGCCTCCCCTCCCTGCCTCCCTCTCCTCTGACCCCCACCAAGGGAGAGAGTCAGTAGTTAGCCTCCCCTCCCTGCCTCCCTCTCCTCTGACCCCCACCAAGGGAGAGACTCAGTAGCTAGCCTCCCCTCTCTGCCTCCCTCTCCTCTGACCCCCACCAAGGGAGAGAGTCAGTAGTTAGCCTCCCCTCCCTGCCTCCCTCTCCTCTGACCCCCACCAAGGGAGAGACTCAGTAGCTAGCCTCCCCTCCCTGCCTCCCTCTCCTCTGACCCCCACCAAGGGAGAGAGTCAGTAGTTAGCCTCCCCTCCCTGCCTCCCTCTCCTCTGACCCCCACCAAGGGAGAGACTCAGTAGCTAGCCTCCCCTCCCTGCCTCCCTCTCCTCTGACCCCCACCAAGGGAGAGAGTCAGTAGTTAGCCTCCCCTCCCTGCCTCCCTCTCCTCTGACCCCCACCAAGGGAGAGACTCAGTAGCTAGCCTCCCCTCTCTGCCTCCCTCTCCTCTGACCCCCACCAAGGGAGAGAGTCAGTAGCTAGCCTCCCCTCTCTGCCTCCCTCTCCTCTGACCCCCACCAAGGGAGAGACTCAGTAGCTAGCCTCCCCTCTCTGCCTCCCTCTCCTCTGACCCCCACAAGGGAGAGAGTCAGTAGTTAGCCTCCCATCAGTGGTCTGTGTGTGGCTCTGGCTGTGGCCTACTTTATGACTGCTGCAATCTGCTGTCTGACAGTGGGAGTGTATGGGGGGATGGAGAGGAGTGGAAGGGAGCAGGGAGGAAGGGAGAAGGCGGGGGGTGTAGGGGAGGAGGGGAGTGTATGGAGAGATGGAAAGAGGAGTATTGGGAGAGATGGAGAAAGGGGGTTAACAGTGGAGGTCTAAGGAAGGGAAGCACGGTGTCTCTACACTGCCAGTAAATGTCAGGTGTAGCTGCAGGGCCTGGGTAGTGAAGATGCCAGAGGGTTAGGGAGGTTGAGAGAGCCGACGGGAGGAGAGGGCAGGCCAGGGGAGGGCAATTGTGGGCAGGGGGTGATGGAGGGGGAGGGTGGGGTGATGGAGGGGGGGTGGAGAGATGGAGGGAACAAAGGACTGGGCTCTAATGAACAATAGAAGAGGAAAGGTAGATAAGCAGGTTCACCACAGTAAGAAGTCAGCATTAGTATGTGCCTCTGTACTAGGCTAAGGGGGACCGATAATACATACCGTAGAACCAGGACACCCCAATGGCCTCAATTAGCACCCCAAACAAGATGGAGGTCCCCGCCGCGTAGTTATCCAACAAAGTCAGCACATATATTCCTCCCTGACAGACAGAGAGAGTGAGAGTGAGAGAGAGAGAGAGTGAGAGTGAGAGAGAGAGTGAGAGTGAGAGTGAGAGTGAGAGTGAGAGTGAGAGTGAGAGTGAGAGTGAGAGTGAGAGTGAGAGAGTGAGAGTGAGTGAGAGAGAGATACAGAGACACAATGTCAAAAGGTTGTTGAAGATGGGCAACCTGGCTGCCGTTAACTACTGTGAGCTGGCAAGGATAAGCATGAAACACAAAGCTTATCGAGTCAGGCAATAACAATTGTTCGCATGGTTGGACAGGGGATTCCCTTTTCTATCTTATGCCTGGTGGGAAGTTTGTGATCCTCTTTGGTTTGATTTATGCAATCATATGAGAGCTATGAAAATCATATGTGACTCAGAGGAACAGGAAGTGACCTCACATTAGTGATGCAGAAGAGCGCGACAAGAAAGGTTCCGAATGCTGTGGCGAAGGTGAACAGCTTCCTGTTCCTCTTCAGGATCTTGAAGTCGTCCGACAGTCCTGTGATGACCGCCTCCATACCACCCATCTAGAAGACAGACAGACAGGCAGACAGGAAGATAGACAGGCAGACAGACAGACAGACAGACAGACAGACAGACAGACAGACAGACAGACAGACAGACAGACAGAGACAGACAGACAGACAGACAGACAGGCAGACAGGCAGGCAGACAGGCAGACAGGCAGACAGGCAGACAGGCAGACAGGCAGACATACATTAGGATGGTTCAGTGGCACAAACACATAAATTGTAGTACCTACAGCAGTAATGTAACAGAATCACACAGTCTTCTCACCTAAACAGAATACCTTTGGCCTAGAATCTAAACGATCAGACCTAGCTTTCTAAGTGCAGTGCTACATGACTCCTACTGCTGTGGAATTTCCTTTTTTGCTTCATTTACAGTAAATGATCACCTTATGTAACTGGGAAATTTTATGAGGAAAAATGAACAATCACTGTGGACAAAGTTTTCCTGCGTTTCAGGCTGCGATGCATGTGACTTTCCACTTCATGGTTATTGGGTAACAGTCAAAACAACTGCCTTCGCAGTACCCAGAACTCAGAGCAGGACCAGAGCACTCACTGCAACCATGGGAAAGTAGAATAATGTATAAGATTGACTTGACTGTGTGTATGCAAAAGTGCCTGTAATACTGTACAGACAGAGAGAGAGAGAGAGAGAGAGAGAGAGAGAGAGAGAGAGAGAGAGAGAGAGAGAGAGAGAGAGAGAGAGAGAGAGAGAGAGAGAGAGAGAGAGAGAGAGAGAGAAAGAGAGAGAGAGAGAGAGAGAGAGAGAGAGACAGAGAGAGAAAGAGACAGAGAGGGACAAAGAGACATATAGATATAGATAGACAGATCGGAGGAGATACAGTATTCTAATCTACACTTACTATAAATCCACTAGATAGATCAGATAAATCCACCATAAGATAGAAACAAATGGTCAGTAGCCATCCGTGCCCTGTGGTGGGACATAGCATGCAGTAATTCAACCCTGAGGTGGGCCAGTAACTCACAGAGCTGTCGATGCCCAGAGTCAGCAGCATGATGAAGAATACTATGGCCCAGAAGGTAGATCCAGGGAGGGTGGAGATGGCCTCAGGATAGATGATGAATACCAGTCCTGCACCTGCACTCACGCACAGATACATAGATAGAGACACTTGTGATAGCACATACCAGAGACAACTGATTACCATCAGTCTATAAAATGGTACGTTGTTGGGTGGGATGTTGAAATAAAACAGCATATTGTTTGGTGGGATGTTGATATAACACTTCCTTGTCCTGAGCTTGACCCTGTCCACAAGGTCGTTTCAGAGAAAATAAGAGATGATTTAACAATGGAAAGTGAAAGGAGGAAAGGAAGGAGAAAGGCAGAGAAGTGAGGACTCAAGATGACAAAGAAATGACAGACAACGGAGGGACAGTGGCAAGTAGAAGACAGAAGAACTAGAAAGCAAAGCAGATTTTTATCAGATTTAATTTTTTTTGTATGTCTGCCAAACCCTCTCTCCACAGCAGGCCAGTATTTATGTGTTCTCTGGTATTTCAATTCCATCTGAACCCCAGACCCTCTCAGCTACTGTTGCAATCAATTATATTAAAAGCATTGCACGTTGCTGCTCATTCGTAAAGGAAAGATTCACCCATTTTGAATGTTATATCGTTTTTTGTGCATCTCTGAGCGATGTTCTCAGATACACATGTTTTCATGTGTATCTGAGCTATTGCTGTACAAGCAGGCAGAAATACAGCCAGTATGATGAGTTTTGCATCATTCGTCATACCGGCTGTATTTCTGCCTGCTTACCTCAGGAATTGATAGAACATTGCTTATAGACGCACAAAAATTATATAATATTCAAAATGGGTGAATCTTTCCTTTAAGTTGTTTGATTTAGTGAGCAGTAACAGTAAGCTTGTGGAATGTTTAGTTTAATGATGAATTTATAGGTGTTTTGACTGGGTTTGAAACTCTATAAATGGTGTGTAGATGACTGACTGTTGGGTGTTGTCAGAATCCTGCCCTCCCTTAGAGCAGGTGACTCCCCTCACTCTACTCAGGGTCAGACAGGGACTGCTCATGTGTTGAGTCTGTCCCAGCTGAGTCATAGCCTGGGTGGATCCACCATACAAACACAGCACTCTCTGGGGGCTGGCCAGGGAAAAGAGAAGACTGTATGTAGCCTGCAATATAGCCTTATACTGTATGTGTCCTAATAAGGCATGTTTATCTTCCTATGTGTGTGTGTGTGCGTGTGTGTGTGTGTGTGTGTGTGTGTGTGTGTGTGTGTGTGTGTGTGTGTGTGTGTGTGTGTGTGTGTGTGTGTGTGTGTGTGTGTGTGTGTGCGTTTGTGTGTGTGTCTAGTAGGGTTCCTCTCACCTTCGGTGGCCACGTCCTCTATCCTGACCCCGTGTTTGTAGGCCATGTAGCCGAGCACAGAGAAGATGGCAAACCCTGAAAAGAAGCTGGTGACGCAGTTCACTGTACTGGTCAGGATAGCATCCCTGTGGGGAAGAGAACACACACACAAATCATGTTTAGAAAACACTTCATGTGAGCTCTTACTCTGCCTCCAACAACACCTAGCCTATAAAGCTACCATGATAGTACCATGACAGGTCTTACAGCAATAATAAACTCACCATATTAACAGTTTGACTATTGGACTTTTAGAACCCGTGTCTTATTTCACAGACATGCTGTTTTTTCCTTGAACCATGGTAAATCTAAACAGAAGTTTTTTTTGGAACCATATCTTGTGTCTTGTCTTGAGGGTCTTGTCAAGGTATTAGAAGACAGAAGAAAAGAAGGTTTCAGCAGAGAGGTTGGAAGTAGGTTAATGAGGAGGCAGTGGCTGTGTCCCAAATGGCACCCTATTCCCTATATAGTGCACTAGTTTGTTTTTACCAGGGCCCATCGGGCTCTTGTCAAAAGTAGCGCAATATGTAGGGAATAGGGTGCCATTTGGAACGCACACACAGAGAACCTTCAGCTTTCACTACCACCCAACACCAGCAAAGGCATTGCTGGATAAGTAACTTCTTAGTGCCTTGAACTGTACAGGCAGGGTGAGGCCTCCCACATAGATCTGTTGCCTTAACCCTAACCTTAAAGCGGCAATCAGCAGTTGAAACAATAACAAAGAATACTCCCCACCCCTGTTTTGGTAAGAAGCTGTGGGATGGGGCTGGAGAAATGTAACCACTCTCAAATTCATAGACAGAGGTATGGATGCAAGGACTGACCATCCATAATATCACATTTATAGTGTAAACCATGTTAATAGGCTATGTAGTGTTTGTTTACATTTACTTTGTTTACAAACTTTGGAGTAAAACAAAGCTTATATTTTGGATTCTGATGGGGTACGACAGTTGAACTAAGCTCATGAGGCATTCATAAGTTATATTCTTCAAGAATCAATGGGTACATATCATTAATTAATAAGTCCAAAAATGGATGCCCCTTTAAAGAGTTTAATTTTGTATTGGTTTTAATTAACAATTTTGATGCAGAGGGACTGGATGTTGTTTGAGAGCCTTTGAGGCCCACCTGGAAATCAAACTGGGTGAAAGCCTGAAGACTGTTTGTGGTCATTAACCCACGTTCAGTCACCAGACAGACAGAGAGAACATGGACCACAGTCTGACCTCAACCGTCCCATCTGTGTACAATATGGAGAATAATACAACCAGCTGCTACCACATAGATGTCCTTTCAGAATATCTACGGATGTAACAGCCAACTTTCACAAGTCCTCATTCAGCCTCTTAGCTCCCACATATGGCCCAGCTGAGCACACATGAGGCCTTCAGCTGTGTAAGGGGGGGGGGGGGGGGGGGGGAATTTAGATCAAGCAAAGTAATTTATAAGAGTGGGAAACTCAATTAGCTGTACAGCTTCACACTACAAAAACCCTACCCAGCTAACACATAACGTTCCGAGAACCATATGTTTCTTAGAGCTTAGTGAGAGCGTGGTAGCCCTATAGTTATTTTGCATACAACCTTCCCACAATGTTCTGTGAATGATGCAGGATACCCAGTTAGAACAGAACGTTCTGAGAACCATATGTTTCTTAGGTGGGAATTTCAGTACTTCCACATAACGTTTCCTACAGATTTCCTCATGGTTCTATTTAAACCAATAGAGAAATGTTTTTGTTTACAAGCAAACGTCACGTTCGAGTGGTGCACGCCCATGCTCACATCAAAACGCCCTGTAGCAGATAGCTATACACCTTGACAAACTTAGCAGTGAGTGAATGATGACCATGAAAACACACAAGACTGATGGCTATAGCTAATCAGCTATGTTCAACAAGTATATTATTCTTCTGGCTTTATCTAGCTCTATTTGTGATATTTTACCTTGCCTTGCTGGCTTGCTAGCTCACGTTTTCTAAAAGCAGAATGGGTCTAACTGATAGCAGCACCCACCTCTCCACTTTCACAATAACCTATTAGTGATGACAAGGATCAGCAGACCCCACAGTCTAATGTCTGTTTCTCTGTGAGGGGTTTAGAGGACCACAGAATGGCAGGGAACGTAACACTGCCTATGGCTATAGCCATCATCTGGCCTAGCATGGGCTGCACTTATCCTGTTAGCTCCAAGCCAGAAAGTCCACTGGCCAGATACACATCACCTTTCTGTCCAGTTAAAACAGGAAAGACAAATCTAAAGAGACCTTTACACAGCACAGGATCTGTTCAATCTGATTGCCTGGTTACAGGTTATAGAAGGTCATGTAAGCCTTGTAAGGTCATGATAGAGAAGCACTGAGGACAGCACCGTGATATCAACAGTGATAAATCTTACCTGTAACAGTTGTTGTCAAATTTATTGTAGCTGGCAAATGCAATGAGCACTCCAAAGCCGGCTCCCAAGGAGTAGAAGATCTGAGTAGCAGCATCAATCCACACCTACAGCAGGAACATAGAAAGAGACTTTGTGGCCTGTGTGATCCAGCGGTTACAGTCGCTGACCCCGGCCCACTGCCCTTTGACTCACCCTTCCCCTATCGCCCCCGTCTTTCCAACACTTTACTATCTCTTCAATCAAGCAAAGAACTTAAGAAACTGCCCCACTCCTTAAAAATATAAGCCCATAGCATTATAATATAATATAAAGAGCCCATAGCATTATAATATGATACAGAGAAGAGCATTACATTTGACAGAATCTCTCCTGAGTACTGACTATCTACTGACTCTTGGCTCTAAATAATCTTGTCTCTGATATGATTCCTTGGCCATGTTTTCAAAAACATTAGAGCTCCTTACCGTTCATTTACAGCATTCTATATTAAACATTAGAGCTCCTTACCGTTCATTTACAGCATTCTATATTAAACATTAGAGCTCCTTACCGTTCATTTACAGATTCTATATTAAACATTAGAGCTCCTTACCGTTCATTTACAGCATTCTATATTGATTATGGCATATGTGAAATCACAACCTCCCAGTTTTTTTTCTTTTTTCCCTCCACTTTGTGTCCAAAAACAGCTAACACATGTTTTGGTTCCTAAATGAGTTAATTTAATTTATTTCCATATTGGATGTGACTATGGGAGCTCTAGCATAATTCCCAGGTTTCAAGAAATCCTGTTTGGCGGATCCCGGATTTCTTGTTTATTCTCTCTTGATTCCGGGAACCTGGGAATTTTTTAAGTTATTGGAAATATTGCATCCCTAATCTCAGTAACACACTGTACTGTACTCTAAAGACATGTCTGACCTTGGGGTCGTTGAGTTGTTTAAAGTCGATGTGGAGGTAGGCCCGTATGCCGTCCATAGCCCCTGGCAGAGTGATGCCTCTGATCAGCAGGACAAACAGCACCACATAGGGCATGGTGGCCGTGATGTACACCACCTGGATACAACACAACACAGAACATTAGCTACATGACTACCTGCACCTGGATAAGAGCGTCTACCTGCAACCAAAAACATTTCCTCAAAGGGTTATCCTATGGGGACAGCCAAAGAACCCTTTAAGGTTCTAGATAGCACCTTTTTTTCTAAGAGTGTACGGTAGTGTTCAATACACCACCTGGACAACATAACATTACAGATTTGTCATTATTACTGTGAGATCATGTCCTATGACATACAGTGCATGACATCATGTGAATTGTTGTATTCTCCCTGGCCTGTCAGCTATGGTTACTGTATAGATGTTCTTTTTCAGATCTGTGTAGACTCATGCACTAAGCAGTACTAAACGGTGCTTAGATCTGTCAACTCAGAGACTGGTTTTTGTCACACTCCGGTTACTGTTTATAGATCTTATTTCTCAAGGTACTGTAGTGTAAACCCATGTACTACGCAGAGTGTGTCCGCACAACCACAGTTCATTTTGTGTACAGTTGCAGTGCGTGCTATACTAGGGAAAAGGAAAGGGGGATACCTAGTCAGTTGTACAACTGAATGCATTCAACCGAAATGTGTCTTCCACATTTAACCCAACCCCTCTGAATCATAGAGGTGCGGGGATCTGCCTTAATCGACGTCATCGACGCCCGGGAAGCAGTTGTTGTTGGGGGTTAACTGCCTTGCTCAAGGGCAGAACGACAGATTTTTCCACCTTGTCGGCTCGGGCATTCAAACCAGCGACCTTTCAGTTACTGGCCTAACGCTCTTAATCGCTAGGCTACCTGCCTACTACAGTAGTAGTGTGTTGTACTACAGTAGGAGTGTGTTGTACTACAGTAGGACTGTGTTGTACTACAGTAGGACTGTGTTATAATGCAGTAGGAGTGTGTTGTACTACAGTAGAAGTGTGTTATACTGCAGTAGGAGTGTGTTATACTGCAGTAGGATTGTGTTGTACTGCAGTAGGAGTGTGTTATACTACAGTATGAGTATGTGTTATACTACAGTAGGAGTGTGTTATACTACAGTAGGAGTGTGTTATACTACAGTAGGAGTGTGTTGTACTGCAGTAGGAGTGTGTTATACTACAGTATGAGTATGTGTTATACTACAGTAGGAGTGTGTTATACTACAGTAGGAGTGTGTTATACTACAGTAGGAGTGTGTTATACTACAGTAGGAATGTTTGTTATACTACAGTAGGAGTGTGTTGTACTAAGCAGTACAGTACAGTGTGTCAACAGTACCTTGCCGGAGGACTTGACGCCCTTCCAGAGGCTGAAGTAGAGAAGAAAGACCACAGCCACCAGACAGAGGACCAGCTCCCAGCGAGGCATGCCCAGGTCCTGGATCCCCCTGCTCTCATGGAGGTGGAGTACGCCACGTCTGGAGAACACACACACACTGAGTCCCGATTCTACAAGCTTCTCCCGTAGTGTTCTTTGCACACTTTCTCACATGCATTTTACAATTGTGGCAACTACCTCCAGCCAATGCTTACACCAACCCTATGCTTTTAAATCAATGACGGGGAGTATGAAAGTGTGCACTTCTGGAAAAAGGTGTAGAATCGGGAAGCATCCACATACTTAACAAGAGGATGGTGTGGAGGATGACATGCGTAACACACCCAGACCACACACACTCCAACAACACACTCCAACAACACACCAAACCTCATTTAGACCCAGATTTATGACCAAACTGTCCACAGCATAGATACCTCCTAAAACATCAAGAAAAAGATTGGAAGATATACATGCCTTATTAGGACACATACAGTATAAGGCTATATTGCAGGCTACATACAGTCTTCTCTTTTCCCTGGCCAGCCCCCAGAGAGTGCTGTGTTTGTATGGTGGATCCACCCAGGCTATGACTCAGCTGGGACAGACTCAACACATGAGCAGTCCCTGTCTGACCCTGAGTGAGGGGAGTCACCTGCTCTAAGTCAGTCATCTACACACCATTTACTCCAGTCTGAACTTAAACAACTTAAATCAGGTAGAAAGTGTATAGAAATGATAATGAATTTACATTTTTAAATAATTAAATCACTGAAAAGAAATCTTCAATCACAGTATTTTCAATATAGATTTACAGTGGGGGAAAAAAGTATTTAGTCAGCCACCAATTGTGCAAGTTTTCCCACTTAAAAAGATGAGAGAGGCCTGTAATTTTCATCATAGGTACATGTCAACTATGACAGACAAAATGAGAAAAAAAATCCAGAAAATCACATTGTAGGATTTTTAATGAATTTATTTGCAAATTATGGTGGAAAATAAGTATTTGGTCAATAACAAAAGTTTCTCAATACTTTGTTATATACCCTTTGTTGGCAATGACACAGGTCAAACGTTTTCTGTAAGTCTTCACAAGGTTTTCACACACTGTTGCTGGTATTTTGGCCCATTCCTCCATGCAGATCTCCTCTAGAGCAGTGATGTTTTGGGGCTGTCGCTGGGCAACACAGACTTTCAACTCCCTCCAAAGATTTTCTATGGGGTTGAGATCTGGAGACTGGCTAGGCCACTCCAGGACCTTGAAATGCTTCTTACGAAGCCACTCCTTCGTTGCCCGGGCGGTGTGTTTGGGATCATTGTCATGCTGAAAGACCCAGCCACGTTTCATCTTCAATGCCCTTGCTGATGGAAGGAGGTTTTCACTCAAAATCTCACGATACATGGCCCATTCATTCTTTCCTTTACACGGATCAGTCGTCCTGGTCCCTTTGCAGAAAAACACCCCCAAAGCATGATGTTTCCACCCCCATGCTTCACAGTAGGTATGGTGTTCTTTGGATGCAACTCAGCATTCTTTGTCCTCCAAACACGACGAGTTGAGTTTTTACCAAAATGTTATATTTTGGTTTCATCTGACCATATGACATTCTCCCAATCCTCTTCTGGATCATCCAAATGCACTCTAGCAAACTTCAGACGGGCCTGGACATGTACTGGCTTAAGCAGGGGGACATGTCTGGCACTGCAGGATTTGAGTCCCTGGCGGCGTAGTGTGTTACTGATGGTAGGCTTTGTTACTTTGGTCCCAGCTCTCTGCAGGTCATTCACTAGGTCCCCCCGTATGGTTCTGGGATTTTTGCTCACCGTTCTTGTGATCATTTTGACCCCACGGGGTGAGATCTTGCGTGGAGCCCCAGATCGAGGGAGATTATCAGTGGTCTTGTATGTCTTCCATTTCCTAATAATTGCTCCCACAGTTGATTTCTTCAAACCAAGCTGCTTACCTATTGCAGATTCAGTCTTCCCAGCCTGGTGCAGGTCTACAATTTTGTTTCTGGTGTCCTTTGACAGCTCTTTGGTCTTGCCCATAGTGGAGTTTGGAGTGTGACTGTTTGAGGTTGTGGACAGGTGTCTTTTATACTGATAACAAGTTCAAACAGGTGCCATTAATACAGGTAACGAGTGGAGGACAGAGGAGCCTCTTAAAGAAGAAGTTACAGGTCTGTGAGAGCCAGAAATCTTGCTTGTTTGTAGGTGACCAAATACTTATTTTCCACCATAATTTGCAAATAAATTCATTAAAAATCCTACAATGTGAATTTCTGGATTTTTTTTCCTCAATTTGTCTGTCATAGTTGACGTGTACCTATGATGAAAATTACAGGCCTCTCTCATCTTTTTAAGTGGGAGAACTTGCACAATTGGTGGCTGACTAAATACTTTTTTCCCCCATTGTATTAGCAGCACTATTTTGGTTGATTTTGTGGTCTCAGTGAGTTTATTAACATTCTTCATCAAGACTATGGGCAAAATGTAATTATTGACAATGAAAGAGGTGGGAAAGTTGTTTCCTTTTCATATAATTGCTACTTTTAATATCAATATAGCATTAAAAATAGTTTTCCAGATTGTATTTTAGCGATTCTTTTTCGAGATGCGAATATTCGGTCGCGACTGAGACAACCTGGTTCAATTTGGTTCCCGAGACAAAACCAGTTGAGAACCACTGATTTAGAGATCTTAAAACCCAGTCAAAACATCTATAAATTAATCATTGAACTAACCGTTCCACAAGATTACTGTTACTGGTCACCTAAATCAAACAACTTCAGAATGAAGTGCAAAGCTTTTATCCCAACATATTATGATCACCACATTCTGTATCCATTCAATCATCTAGCTAACAGAATCACGAGGGAAGAATGAAGGACTCAGGGTTTGGAGTACCTGAGAAAATGTTTTCTACTCTCAACATGCACAAAAGCATGCATGCACGCACACACACACACACACACACACACACACACACACACACACACACCCTCCCACTCCTTCAAAGACCTTGGCAGCTAGTGGTTTTAATAACAGACTCTTGGGAGCCATTCCCATCAAAGCACTCTGACTACTACTCTCAGTTGAATGGGCGCTCAAAGGGTCAAGCGTTTTACCGGAACATAAATAAAAGAGTGGAGACGGCAGGAAGACAAATGGTAACTCATCCTTCCCTACATCAATATTGTTTCCTGCTATCTGTCTCCTCATTCCCAGATCATCCTTGGATCTTCCCAGGACAGGCATACTGAGCCACACCTGCTCTGAGTCCCACCGGACTGACCAGACTGACAGCGGATCTGGATCAACTTCCAGCTCAGCGATATTAGGGAGCATCCCGTTCCTGCTCTGCGTCTCAAGTTGCACCCTATTCCCTTTATAGTGCACTACTTTTGTCTAGGGACCATCGGGATTTGGTCAAAAGCTGTGCACTATATAAGGGAATAGGGTGCCATTTAAAGACACTGCCCTGCTCAAAGGGAAGCAGGGGTCAGAGGTCATAGTGTTTAAATGATCAACAGAATAATATTGACCTCTAGGGAGAACGGCCAGGTGTTTTTTTCCTCTTCTTCTAAACAGCTCTGAGTAAGGAGGAAGGAGTAAACTTAAGTCATAACAAGTGGACAGTATTATGGGACATCTGA